GTGTACCTGAGGTGGCACGGTCAGTGCATTTCTTTTGTTTGGGCGTTCGGTCCGATAAGCTCCTCGGTGCAGTCAGCATTATACGATCGCACAAGTGACATGAGAATGGCCAGCAGAGGGCACAGCTATTAATTTGTTTCGCATTCTCCATTCGTTTTAAGAAACATACGGAAAATGAACGCACAAGTTTGTGCTTGCTGGTTCAGTAGCCGCAATGCTCTGTATCTGAAGGTTATCTTGAGTGCAACACGATACTGAAATCTTCGCTGCTCGATGATACAGAAATCTGGAAACTGGCAGTGCAGTCAAGTCTACAATTTGAGCACTTAAGTTAGACAAGACATTCCACATCTCTTACGGAAACCGAAGGATTATACCGTGTTCACGTGGAACACCACTCGGTATTCAGGGCCATATGACAATACAAACCACAACCCTAAACTCCATTTCCCTCCGAACAATTCTAATATTATCCTCCCACCTACTCATGGGCCTTCAAAGTGGCGTCTTCCCTTCAGGCTTTTAAACAAAAATATTGTATGCATTTCTCATCTCTGCCGTGCATGCCACATGTTCAATACGTGCATATATTGGAGAGTTATAAATCAAAATAAAATTCGTCTAATGTCTGATGATGTTTCCGCTTCGTGCCAAGAACGTACATCAGACTTGTTTCTTATGTTAAAAGGATAGGATGACAGAAAATTAGCACATCCAGCGTTGACGTAGAACTTACCTTCGACGTTCTGAGCAGAAACATAACAGACAATTAATCTGGTCCTTACTATACAAGCTATGGAGTTCCACTGTTTGCAATGGAAGCTAAGTAAGTTTGCCCTACCAGTAATTTAACCTTCAATAAATAAGTCAATGATTTAACTGTCCTGGGGTTGGCAGTGGCAGGTACTAAGAACCTTTGAAGGTGTCTTGGTGAGAGGTTGTACTGACATCAGTAACTGCAAGCTGTGTATAGTACTCAACGTCGTGTTAGAGCGACTAGCACTCCTGTTATGTAATAAAGTTCTGGGTTTAATTACTAAACCAAGGATCAGCTATCCTGAGGTTTATTTTTGTTTTACTCAGCCCCCTCCCAAGAGTAAGTTATCGAATGGTACTTAAAGATAAACCAATTAATTCTTAGGGTCAAATACAGCAAATTGAGGAACTTTGTAGCTCGTACCAAAGACTTGAGCTGGCGTTGATAAGTTCCATTTGCTTACAAATTTAGAACTGAATGAGTACAATCTGAATGTGAATTTGGAGTTAATTTTATAAGATTTCCTTTAAACATCTGTTCTTAAAAACAACATATTCACCGCAGATCTGAAAATACAGTGATAACAGAGAAATTCGCGTGAATTTATGCATTCATGTATTCATATTTCAGTGTCCTGTTTGCCCGCGGCGTGAAACAACGCCAAGGCGAGGCTGTCAGCCGGCTAAGAGATCTGATTATTCATAGCTGTTGTCATTTTTCTTCTCCGTCATCCGAGGGAAGTTTCATGTAGTAACACAATTGATTAATATCTCGGATACGAACGACGAAGGCACTCCAGCCATTTAATTACGGTCTTGTTTGGCGTGGTAAGGTTTAAGTTCTTGATGTAAAACACGAAACATCGTAGGAACGATAGCTCTCTCATCAACCTCAACACATTACAACTAAAATTACTGGTCCCAAAACACATTTTGTGTTTAACGGGAAGTATGCTTCCCACTCATATGTGATCGGTAGCGGGAGTGTTCAACACCCATAACCTTGCTGGTCCGTTTGTATGCGGGAAACAATACATACTATCATACGTAAATATCTCAGTCTACTTCAGAGTAAGAGGGCTTTCTGAGACAGGTAATCCATTTAAATATTTGTGTCATAAAGATAAACAGATTAAAATAACTGCTAATAACGTATTAACAGTTGTTATACTTTATAAGGTCATATTATATAGTAGACTAGCTGTAACATGTTGTAACGCAATAATTTGTAAATTAATGAGCATAAAGCAAATCGTATGATTAATCTTCCATCGTGTAGGAGAGTTAATAATCTCATAAATTCGATATGTTTATACATAACAAGCCAAGAAAGACCGCCCAGTATCGGTACCGTAAAAAAAACGTGCGTGGAGGCAGATGAAAACTACGAAAAATCATCAGAGGCCCGATTAGATATTTTCGAATGCTTAGAAGTAAGTAAGAAATAAGTCTCTTAATAGCAAATTAGTTTTAATATTATTTTGTTAGGTTTTATGAACGGCTAAAATAAATATTTGGTTATAGTTTCTTTTTTTAATTTGGCTGATCTTTAGAAAGGGGTCACCAGCTGACGACGTGATTTCTAAATTTAGCAAAGTTGTAACAGTTTTTATAAACGTAAGAAACAGTTCTTATTTAACCACTTTAAGGAACAAAATCCCCTAAATTTTCTAACCTATGTCAATTTTTTCTTTTTATAAAACATGACATGGTTGTAGGGAATTTGTGCCAATGAATTAAAATCAACAGTGCATGCCGGTATTTGTAAAATATCAGACACCACGCCTAACCTCCTGGCGGATTATGCAGTTACTTGGTCTTCGAATCCTACGCGGCGGCGCCACAGAGACTCAGCTTCAGACTTGCCTGCTAGATGGCTCGACTTGTGCTGCGTGAATATAATACCAACCTTTGAACAGTATCTGCAAAATACCTAATTAATGCATTATTGTTGGGGAAAAACCAAAACCATTCACATTAATGGATCCCAATCCGGGGCACGCCGATGTGTTTTATGCGGCCCGCGTACTTTTTCTGTTACAATGTGTCATTCTATGTGATGAAAAATATTTAACTGGTATAAGAAAGCATGATTTATTAACGTTGTCAGTATCTGTCGCTGTGGAAAACTGCCGGCTACAATTAAACGAAGAACGTCAAATCTAGAAAAAAAGACGTGTAGATCTAACAACGACTTTTGCAGGCGACTGTAACTTGGTAATATATGTTCATAATTTTTTTGTTGAAACCAATTTTAAGAGAAATAACAGAAACGAGAATATTTCTGTGTGTGCGCGTGCGTGAATGTGCAAAATCCCCCGACTACATACACCTCTAAGATGGCAACCCGGCCGACAGCTAATCGTTTCAGTTACATCACAACCGACAGAAATTATAAACCAATGCCAAACTTGAAATGAAATGGACCCCAGTTTTAACGATCAGCCTTAGTTTTTAAATGTAAATTATTATTTCGTATTAATTCCAGTTGTTAGTGTTCGCTGCAGCCATCGTGTTTAGAATGCATCCAGCGTACGCCCTACCTGCACAGCCCACGTCCTGGACTTATTTGACGTCACTGTCTTCACACTGCTCGTTGTACTGCTGGAGGCGACATTGTTTTTCGTGGAGCTGTTGCTGTTTTGCTGTTTCTGGTGAGCTGCTGCTTGCTGTTGTGTCTGTTGCATGATCTGGTGGATGAGGTCCAGTTGCTGTTTCGTTAGGCCGTCATTGTTTACAGGTTGGGCGCTGCTGGAAGCCTGCACAACAAACGAGCTTATAACGGTGGTGTTGGCTCCGAATCATTATTTAAATACCATTAATTAAACCACATTGGAGGTGCCTGCTTGAGCTGTCGCCGTGAACATTAATCTGTCTCCCGTGAAGAATCTTATCAGACAGCAGACATGTAGTCCAAAAATCCCGATGCAAGACTGTTCTCGTTGTTACTTAATGTAAACTTTCCTCGAACGATAAAATTATCAAGAAGTGTGCACAATTATAGATACTGGCTCCTCCCCCTTAACAAAGACGTCGAAAATTAAACTAAGTTCTTATTTCCGTTGTATGTAAAACCTTTAATAAAAACTTTTAAAATGTCTTTCAAAAACCGTCGTAAATTAATAATGTAACGACCAAGTAAAATAACAAATTCTGAAATGGAGCAAACAATTTAGTGTTTTATCTGATTTTATACAACACACATTTTGTAAGCTCATAGACAGGCGTGCTCTATGCCTCACAGTCTGTCCCCTTCTTCGGGGGCGACGCCCCTAGTTCTCAAAAATCACAGGAGCGACGCCTTGTCTCTACTGCAGCCTCGTTCGAGCGACAAACAAATGCAGCCACAGGTAATGAAGTAGATTCGAAACATTTCCTCATAACATTTATTTTCGACCGTCTAGGGCTTTGGGATTTCTGCTCTGTTCATATCACGGATAACTCCACAGTGAAATGTCGTGTCGAATACAAAAATTTTCACAAAAATACCGACGTTTCTAAATTCCGAGTACAAACCCATATCGGTACCAGCAACTTATTCCTACATATCAAATATGTGCGAGCATGTATTTACTCAGGTAACTACGTCTATTTATGAACGTAAGCCCCATGTGCGTGAATGTATGTGCCCATAATATATGCACGAATTATAACTGAGTGGATGCTGGCCGTAGACTGATGTTAGTCCACGCACGAATGTGGCATGTAGGTGCATGTGTTGGGTACATTACTGGCACTGACAGAGTTAAATGCGCATGTGCAACAGGCAAGGAACGTAAATTGTGATTTACTGAACATTTCACACACACATATTATATGCCTCAAATACAATGCGATGTTAAACTTTAAAACCAGGGAGATCTTTCGATGACTGTACGTCATAAGCTGGAGGAAAAGGGCAAAGAAACAGAAACAGAAGAAAGACCTGAAATATTTCCATGTTATCTTTATCTTGTCATAGTCACAGCAAATATCATTCCTTAAACATTTAGTTGTTCCTGTCTGTAATGACATTTTATAACGCACGTATACATATATAGCCCAACTTGTGTCACTCATCACATTATGGAGAGTACCCGAAACGTCAAAGTATCATTCTACAGCCCGATAAGGCTTCATCACAGTAGAAATGTTCTAATTTGTAGGTAAAACGTATATGAGCTTTGATTAATGTCCTCTCCTGTATTAAAAATGCAGGCTACCAGAAACAACAACTTAGTAATAAGCAATATAAGTGCTTATCGTTGGCATCACTTCTACGATCGAAAAATATAGCATGTCCCTCGAAATTGCGTGCACCCTTCCCGGCATACGTGTAGACGAGACATAAAACACTTACGTAAAAAGCAGGAGTTACTTGTTTGTTACTCTGAAGAATAGCGTTGACCTTGAACATTTGAAGGACATTATTAAAAATATACGGATTTAACTCTGTATAATGTAGCCTTTTAAAAAGAAGTTTCAAATGACAAATTTTTCGCTACAAATTTTGCGCCAATGGACCTCTGCGTGGGTTTGTAAGGTCATAGATTTTCTCCTGGGTAACAAACAACATAGCTTATACAGCGTTCAAATCAGGTCGAAAACTAAAAACGAGTATGAAAGGACAGCCAGAAGCTATCATCTGAAGCTTCCACGGCGAATTTGTGTGAAAAATTCTTCTCGGGCTACCAGCAATGTAAGGTGGCTTAATGAAGAAAACACCAACGTTTCAAGAACCATCTTCGTCCTCGTCCTCAGGATGCAGAGAAACACCAACGTTTCGAGAACCATCTTCGTCCTCAGGGTGCAGAAAAAACACCAAAGTTTCGAGAACCATTTTCGTCCTCGTCCTCAGGATGCAGAGAAACACCAACGTTTCGAGAACCATCTTCGTCCTCAGGGTGCAGAAAAAACACCAAAGTTTCGAGAACCATTTTCGTCCTCGTCCTCAGGATGCAGAGAAACACCAACGTTTCGAGAACCATCTTCGTCCTCGTCTCCAGGGTGCAGAGAAAACACCAACGTTTCGAGAACCATCTTCGTCCTCGTCCTCAGGGTGCAGACAGGAAGATGGATCTCGAAAAGTTGTTGTTTTCTTCATTAAGCCACCTTACACGGCTGACAGCCCGAGAATAATTTATTATAAACAGCCAGAAGGCTTTGATACTATTGGTCGGGAGAATGACAACATTTTAACACATATTTAGAAGAGCCTGAATGTGACATTCAGCAATTTTGGTGTGCTGGATAGTCATCTAACTTAAGTACGTTTACAACACATACTTGTAGCTATTAAGATGAAATTAGTGATATAATAAAAAACGTTTTTGTAAGGTACTTTATTAACAAACATCACGATCCACGTGGTACTTAAATCGAAAAAGATGGACTTAAAAATACGTGCACTTAAAAAATAGAGTACCCTTGTCCATTCACTCGTAATTCATTGCGTTCTCACTCTTTTGACATTCTATTTAATTCGTTTGTGTTCAAAATCGAATTTATAAGTAATTGGCATTTAGAACAAAATGAAACATACCAAACAATGTATCTGCCATATCAATAAAATATAATATTAACGGTAAATAAAAGATTATTTGTGGTCCTTAGTTCCCTGAGATGATACATCTGAAGGGAATGAGAAACATCCTGGATAAATTTAGTTAGAATAGTAGGTCGGAGAGTCGATCACGTGACTTGCTATATCATGTTTATACTGTATAGCTAACGCGCCCCATTTCGACCGTGTTACTAATTCTTTATTAGTTTATTTAACGAGGTATATTCAGCTGCATAGAAAATTTCATGTTCGATGCGTAGGTAATTATGAAAAATGCATTAAGAAAGAAATGAAATAATAAATGTTGGCCTTTTTAAATGTATTAAATATCAACAGAAATTGATAGACGAAAGGAGCACTTTGAGCTAGTGTTTAAAAACAATCAAGATCAAGAATTTCTACACCAATTACTTGAGGTAGTTAAAAAGTAAAGTAAATTAACTATGCTGAATATGCACATGCCAACAACCTAAAATCAAAATCCTATTACATTGAGAATTAAATTATTCCATATAATATTACGCTTACTTATACAACCGATGTCGAAACGCAGAAAGAATTTACTTACTATAATATATAGCCTACCCATTTAGCTCATCGAATAACTTCCATGGGAGAAGGAAGGGACATTTGATAACCTCGTTATGACATTAAACTACAGTTTGATGTAATGTCAAAATACGGCTTTATTTCTTGAATGGCGAGTGATATTAAACTGAAGCATCAATCAGATACGAATTACTTACTAATGACTAATATTACATCACAACTGATGACGAAGTTATAACTGTGGTAGTTTAATGTATCAATCAGTGAATTTATTGTTCGCCATTGATCACGTCGTAGTTTATAGACGACCTGCAATAACGAAACGAAATATAGCACAGAACGAATGGATGCTGGTAACATCCGAAACAAAGAATATAAAAACCTTCCTCTAAAAATGTCGGTAAGTATGAAAATCACATATTCAGATATCACTGACAATCAAATTAACTTCAATTGTTTTGAACACAACTTTCAGAGTACATACATATCATAAATTGTATTTGATAACGTCTGAAAATATACGGTTTTATGTTACTGGTACTATCACAGCAGTATCTACCGGAATATGCACATTTTATCTCAGAACTACTTTCTTTTAATAAATTCTAGTACAGCATTGCACTACACGTAAAATCTTCTGCCACTGCTCACTAGTGAACGTTCGCAGTCATTTACGAGTATCATGATACATGGATAAGGCGCGTCCAAAAGGGTATAACATATCCTAATTATAATCAGTGGGCGGACGTTTAGTTCACAATTCGTTAACACCCATCTAGTTAATTAGGCCTTATAAAACTAAAGGCTGGAGGACAGGACTCACAGAGATCACAGTGAATAATTAGCTACAGCGTAATAGCATTATAACCGTGGACTACGGCTTATCTGGTATAAACGGGGCTCGGAGGAGAGGAGGTTAATTGAAAAGCTACTAATCCGGATAAATAATATTCGCTTGGAAAAACAATAAGTGTATGCACAAATAAACAAATACACAAAACGTTAAGAAGGTACAGCATACAGTTAAAAATCATCAATGGAATTTACTACGCATAATAACGATTTATCAATTATAAATACACCGTACAATCTATGGAGGCCAGCGTAGCTTCTGGACGAACGGGATTTTTCCTCTAGCCTCTGCGTCCACACCGGATCTGGGGTCCACCCAGCCTCCTATCCAATGGGTATCCGGATCCTTTCCAGGGGGTAAAGCGCGAACGAGGCGTGACGCTAACCACTCACCCCCATCTAGTGCTGAGGTCAAGAATGAGTAGGAGCTATACCGGCTCTCCCCACAAGCGCCTACATGGCGTATAGTGGGACAGATTTTACAATAATAATCTAAAAACGTCTGCGATAATAATATAACATCAGTCATTAAATTTAAACAGTAAAATAATCCGTAGATATTTCCTGGCTCACGTCTTCGTAGAGTAATAAAAATACAATTGGAAGTATAATTTAACTGTATAAGCTTTCAGATATGAATATTACATTTATACTACATGAAACTTAATTTAAAAGCAGTCCAAACATCTGATTCATAGACGGAAATGTTAATGGGTAGATAGTAAATTTGTCGTGGCTAGTTTCCAAACTACAGAAATAATTTTCGCAGGGACGTGAACACAGGACACCTTTCCAGGACTTCTGACATCTTTAAAATCTCTTCCTGGTCTCAAGGAATAAGCATACCAAATCTGGTAAAAATTAGTGAATCCGTTTCGGAGTTACAAGCGTACACACGCCCACTAATTTAGTTTTAGAGAACAAATTAGATATTTTAGTCAATGTTCGCCCGGAAAGAAACACCAGCAGGGCACGAAACACTTAGCTCTGCGTCTGCACGTGTTTCTGAGTGGCCAGGAACGTTTTCGGTGTTCTCTATATTTCCCTCACGTGGGTTACAACAATTAACTTGGCCTTCAAGCACTCAGCTTGTCTTCATTTCTAATTCATGCAAACATTTCCATCGTTAGTAACAATATGTAAGACTCATATGAAAGTTTCTTATCAGTTACGTCATAAAATAAAAAGTATTTTTCATCAATTCCTTATTAACGCAATTATATTGGAGGCTTCACGACTGCAATGAATTTGTAGCGCCTAAGGTAGGCTGATTAATGATTAATGAATTAGGGGGCAAAAGGCACAGGCTGAACGAAAAATTAAAAACTCACAGTCGCGCCGAGATTTGAACCAAAGACGTCCTGAATTATTATGACAATTTTTTAATTGAGCGAAAAGTCATACTGACGTGTCCACGCTACAGACACACGTTTGTTTCCCTTTGATATTTCAGACTTTGGTCACGTGTAATCAGATCATAAATACATACTACGATTTTGTGTAACGCTCATTTTGATTCAAGAGTCACCTATCCTATGGGTCACAAGGGCTCTTCTTCTGGGGTAAAGACGCCGGCGAGTGAAGCTAACCGGTCACCTCCACTCAGTGTCGCGGACAACGAAATTTTAATTCTATCCTCTAGTTTTAGTGTACTGCAAAATAAATTAATTCCCCAAGCACCAAAAGGCTTAGATCCACTGGCATAACAGCTGTGAGACACCGGCGTTATTAAATTACGTGATTCATGAATTCTGAAGTGGGGAGGAAGCAATCGTCACTGATTTCAGGGCAATGTCGGAGGTTTCCCACAGGTGCGAACGGCAATCACGAAATAATTAGAGTAGTCTGAACCCAACGCAGGCTCTCACACCCGCTTGGATATTGGACAGGGTCGCAATCAATCGCAGAGACCGTTAGTTACGCAACCACACAGTGCTTCGTTAAACAAATCGTAAATAATTTTCACAAGCACTACGCATCATGACCACAGGCAGCTCTTAGCGGTTTGTTAAAGGAGTCTGTCTGTGTATACATCAGAACCCTGTAATAGGGACAGAGATGGTCTCTGAAACGTCGGTTTCTTCTTTTAACCAATTGACGTGGCTGATCGCCCGAGAAGATTTTATTGAGTCGAATTTGTGATGTCCTGATTTGATGAGGAACCAGTTCGGGAAAATACATTTATATAATCTTGTCATTTAAAAATGTTAAAACAAACACGAAACAAGTTTTACTTCAAATTGTTCATATATTATCGCAGCAAGAATGGAATTAATAGATACATAAACAAATGCAAATTAAGACAGAGAAAGAGACAGAAAGAAAGACAAATAGAAGAAGGAAGAGAGCGAGAGAAATTAAGGCATGAAAGAAAGAAAGAAAGAAAGAAAGAAAGAAAGAAAGCGCTGTGGACGAAGACAGAAAGTTACAGGTACATAGCAGATATTTTCATTACTTGACATAATGATAGAAAGAAATTTCAATACAGGAAGAAACAACACAGAAATAAATGAAATACAGACTTAAAGAAAGACAAAAATAGAAGAAAAATTAAAATAGAAAAGTAAAATTGGAAGAAAATTCATATCCCTTTCCAGAAATTATAAATGATGTCGTGTCTATGAACTGAAAATATCATGTGTCACTGGGTAAGATGTGAAAATTTCTGGGAGGGAATTATCCGTTATCTACTCCGAGACAGACCTACAGTCTCTTCATCTGGCTACTTGAGCTGAGTTAAACCACTAAAATTTTGTGAGGCCAGTCGATCCTATGATTGGAATTCGGCCATGCCCCTTCATAAAATACATTCCTTCCATAGGGTTGATTTATATAAAATAACAATGAAATTAATTAACGCGTGACCTCTAACTAGTCACTGCCACACGACACTTTGTTATTCGCTGATAATTAATTGAAACGTCTTTTTGTTATTGTGTGCTGAAGGATACAGATCGGCTTTCACGGGATGATTCAATTTCCTGCTACTTAGATTTCTGTTGCATTTTACTGTCGCGCCATTCTAGCAATTTCAGTCTGTGCCCCATTCACTGGAATATAGCGACTATCAACGCAGGGAATCTCATTACAAGGGATTACAATTGAATTGTTCATTGCAAAATGGGAACAAGCTTTTACGTTGTGCTGAATTAGAGTACATCACACGCCATGTATTTTAAACGGACCTCCCAGTCATTTAATACACATATTCAAATAATATGCGTATTTTCTCACTCCAATTAGAATATATAAGGTTACGTTTCTTATTATTGCTAAGAAATTTGCGTATTTTGCGGGTGGCAGACCGAGAGAAGTATGCACGATAAATGAGCCAACTCCTTCTGATAAGATTATCTATCGTTCATAGTCCAAAAATTCCATGCCTTTTAACTTCTGCGAGAGAACGTTTATGTACTACCGTCAGGACTCGTGTATTTAAATGTCAGCACGCATACGGAAGGTCCTGCGATTGGCCAACTCGATTAAGGATATCAGTGATTTTCATCGGTTCTAGACCAAATGCTGAGATGGAACCCAAATTCCACGCTGCACTGCATGCCTCACAGTGCTAATATAAAAACTAAAAACGCCTCAACGTCTCTCCTACTGTACTTTTCATCACACCTTTCCCACCTCCAACTCCTTTTGTAGTTTCTTTCCAGGCCGATAAATTGTTACGAACAGCAAGGCTATAAACAAAGAACTGAGCGCTCGTCACCATAAAAGTGCAGTCGACAATAAATAATTTAGAAAGATGTGTATGACACACTAATTAAGTGGAGTGAAACATCTTCCTTGTACCTCTATTTCTGCTCAATTAAAATTATACCACCTTCTCCCGCGTGAGGTAATCTAAAGCCTTAAGTTCAAAAGTATCTCCAACTAAGTCTAAATTATTAAAATCCTTTTATTGACGTCAATAGCATTACTGTCATGTTAACTCGTCCTTGTACGACGTGAAACAGGCGTATAACTAATTATGTAGAACAGCGTCCCAGAGAAGTCGCTCAGCTTGTGAAGAAATTTCTTGCTTTGAATGGAACCAAAAGAATCACCAATTATAAAACATCGTTTTTTTTGATCCAGCTTCATTAATATCGTTGTTCAGATCATGAAAGAATTTTGAAGATCATTTAATAAACACGAAATATTCAGCTGAAACAGGATTCAGGACTTCACAAACTAAATACTAACTTATTTGTCGTTCAAAACATGGACAAAAATGAGCAACGTGTTATCTACACAATGATAACAGAAACGGAGACAGTAAACTCCTCTAAAATGTCGAAGTATTTTCCACCACGACAAAGGTTCACGAACCAAAACGAGTAACCGATTAATAAACTGGCTTTACAGTACTCCGACCATCGAAACTGAACTTCAAATTCGAAAAATGTCGATCCTAAACGTCGGACAGTCTAATAAGTGTCAAAGTATCTTGGACGACAACAGTGGGTTATGTGCCCAAAGATAAATCATTTAGTAACAGGTTTTACACGAGAAATTTCTGTCTCTGACCATCGAATCGGAACTGTAAGTAAGAAGAATACGTGGTTTTAAACGTGGACTCACCTTGGTGGAGGAGGTGGTACTCGCCGGGGTTGCCGAGACGGGTTCGCTTGCTAACAACTGTTGCAATTGGCTTGGGGCCTGTTTTGTTCCACTACTACTGCTAGCAGCCGTGGCAGCAGAGGTCGTGGTAGTGGATGGCGAAGACGTCGCGGGATACGGAGGCGGTGGCGCTGTTGGGGTCTGCTGTTGCTGCGGAGGTGGCGCATACTGGATGCACGATGAGGCCAGTGGTGAGGCATCGTCGGAACTGCCGGTGCTACCGGAGCCCGACGTCGTGGTTGAGGCATTGCTAGCTGCCTGAGCAGAACTGGAGGCGGTATTGTTCGTGTGGTGATTCTCCGTGTGACGCCGTAAGGACCTGGCGTCGCAGTACGATTTGCCACAGCCTTCTGCCTTACACTCGTACGGTTTCTTGTTACGATGCGTCAACATGTGTCCATTTCTACAATAAAAAATAAATCTCCGTTTAAATTCTTTGTGTCCTGAAGTTAATGCTTGACATATCTTAAGTATAAGCATTTTATCGCCAACTGCTGTGGAGTGATGGTAATTATACCTGTAGTCATGGCACCGGTATTAGTTCATGGGCTAGTTAATGATACCTCCTTAAATGCAAAGGTAATTTACTGTCAAATTGCAATCGACGTCTGGTTAAACTTCGACAAAACAAAGTACCCACGAAAAAGTATACGCTTAGTTCATAACATTCTGTGTATAGAAGGGAACAAATAATTACCACACTTCCCTACATGCTAATCAGTAAAACGTACATATTTTACTGAATTATGCAATATCTCTTCCAAGATTTATGTTTCGATGTACTGCAAACACCTTTACATGACTGACTGAAATTTTTCTCTTTGAGCTCGTAGGGTTATCACATACCTACCAACAAATATGTGTATTACAGTAGTCTCAGGCATATGAAACAGACACTGTTAAAAAGTTTTATTCCGCATAAATGGAATCTGATCATAATATACTAAACCCATTTTTATCATTTATTCTGCAAGAAATATTTAAAGTTATTTCCATCCACCGCCTATTAAAACCGAACAAAGGATACTAACGGCAGACCGATGGAAAATAGAATACAGATTTTACGTCTTTTTGGTAACAGATCTCAAAGTCTAATACCAAAGCGTTTCACTGGATCCGGTCCCAAGCAAAATGATTTCAGTTCTAATGCACGAATCCGTATTACATAGCCGCCCATTTGCTACACCAAACCTCTGTACGGGGGTTCTGTTTGCCCCGGCAGACTTACAGGTGGTCCTGTCGTTTGAACGCCTTCCCGCACATGCTGCACACGTATTTCCGTTCGTCGCTGTGCGTCAGCTTGTGTTTGGCGAGGGCAGAAGCGTTCCCGAACACCTTCCCGCACACCTGCAACACACACAAACACACCTCTCCATCTCAACATCTGAAAACACAGGTACACACTATTATTAACCAAGGAACCAGTTCTATTCCCGTGTTTTCATTAAATTAAATAAAATTATTTAAATTCAATATTTTTATATTGAACATCTTTAATAAACTCTTGACTTCATTCGTGTATGTTAGATAAATCTGCATCTCATTTGAGAAAATAAATAAATGTGTGACGGTACAATTTAATATTAGGCTTATTTATCTACATTACGGCGTTACACAAAGTAACTAACTCCATACAGCAGAGTTCTTCCTGAGAAGCTGATAGTCGTTAAGATAGTAAAAATAATACCCGTTTTTTAAATAACCCAAAGATTCGTTACTGTCCTCACAAGAGCCCGCCACCGGCCCTTATGTGAGCAACATCCTTCTCAAGTGCACAGCCTACCACATTTTTCCCACAATACATTTTTTACCTGATAAAACAATAAATATTATATATATTATATTTTTTACGACGCACTATTTGGGAACAATAGGGTAGTGTCTTACCTGACGTAGCCTATAAGTGTTTTTGACATTCCTTGGCCTGATTTTTAAAATAAAAAATATTCCCAGGGTTATCTCTCTCCAAGAGGAATATTTTTCGTGTTACCTCCCCCCTCCCAATAACGCGCCGTTTGGTGGAAATAGGGTGGGACGGAAGAATTTTGTTTTTTTGTGTACGAATGATAAGAATGACGATGATGTTGACGATGACCTCTTAAACAAGACATTACCTAAGAATATGACTAGTAAGCACTGATAAATATTTTATGATTGTGATGATTATCTTAGGCCTGTAACAACAATAAATTCAAATATAATAATTGAACCTAACTATAATACAGTAATACCTGTAAAGCAATAAACGTGCGTCAATGTATCGACAGAAATATCATTAAAATGAGTAACACAACAGACTAACGATTACATAGCTCACACAATTCCACAACAGATAACTAATAACAAACACAGAACTACATCAAGTCCATTAATGAATAATATTTTAAGAAGGTATCATGTGTTTAAGAGGCAAGTGACGTAACAGGGTATGTAATATGATATATAACATGAAATATTAAAAAGGGTATTGTCAATCAGAGGCTCTCAAAACCACAGATTTTTGTCAAAACGGTGAATAAGATATTCTTAACGCTTTACCGGAAATCGAATTTATATCGACCAGTCCGCATACCTACTGCACACTGGCTAAATTAATAGTTGATAATAACAATAACAAAATACTTGTGAAACTATTCTATTATTATTCTCGTATAAGACTTGAGGTTTTCACAGCGGTGAGTATGAAGATTTCTGTCTTCTGGGTTGTTACGCTGTGTAGTCTGGTCGATGTTAACGAACGTTTCAGAGGTCATACTGCCTCCGTCATCAGGGCGATGCGTATGAAGATTTCTGTCTTCTGGGTTGTTACGCTGTGTAGTCTGGTCGATGTTAACGAACGTTTCAGAGGTCATACTGCCTCCGTCATCAGGGCGATGCGTATGAAGATTTCTGTCTTCTGGGTTGTTACGCTGTGTAGTCTGGTCGATGTTAACGAACGTTTCAGAGGTCATACTGCCTCCGTCATCAGGGCGATGCGTATGAAGATTTCTGTCTTCTGGGTTGTTACGCTGTGTAGTCTGGTCGATGTTAACGAACGTTTCAGAGGTCATACTGCCTCCGTCATCAGGGCGATGCGTATGAAGATTTCTGTCTTCTGGGTTGTTACGCTGTGTAGTCTGGTCGATGTTAACGAACGTTTCAGAGGTCATACTGCCTCCGTCATCAGGGCGATGCGTATGAAGATTTCTGTCTTCTGGGTTGTTACGCTGTGTAGTCTGGTCGATGTTAACGAACGTTTCAGAGGTCATACTGCCTCCGTCATCAGGGCGATTCTATTATATCATCCTGAGGTTTTAGAGATCACTAGTTATCACACCGTCTGTAGCTAGTGAGATTCGTGGCGGACAGACTGACACTGCTTCGATATCTTCAGTTTTCCCCTGCTGATAATCGTTCCATCATTCCTCCATAAACATAAAAGAACAGCGACAGCTGATTAAGCAACAAATTATCACAAGCTAGATCCAAATTTACGGGCTTCATTTGTTAACCGATACTTGGCCAGTCTCTGACTAAAACGTATTTTAAATCCATAATGTTTTTCTACAGGGTTTAGAGCCGTTTACACTCGCCAGCCCTGAAGATGGAGACAACAGGTTTTTCTTCAACGTTTTTCATCCTACAAGGAGCCTAAACTCCGATGAACATTATCCTCACCGCAGTGAACATCTATAATCTCACGTAGTTTAATTTAAATTCTTACATCCGCTAAGAGTTCACTTGAAATAGACAACTTCATCGATATATAATTTTTAATAGCAGAGAGCGAGACATCGCGAATAATAAAATGTCGTGGTCCAATCGTTTCATTTTAATTGTGTCTATCTTACAGCATCGAAAAACGTTGAAGCCACAAAAAAAGTTGTCTAAAGAACAAGTAACCGTAGCAAAATAACGCATCATTAAACGATAGAAACCAAACTTACAACAAATTTGTCAGAAGGAGGTTTCCAGCCGAATGTTAGTAATTCAACGTTTCCTCTAATTTGTAGAAATTTCCTTTCCCATTTCGATGACGACTTTCTATTGTGTGTATCCAAACTGATCTCCATTATCGTACTTGTCTTCCACACCTACGGATAATTATCCGTATCTTTCCTTCCTCTTCAATTCGTACTTCCATGTCACAATTCGGTAGTCTGAAATACGTAGTTGCTTCCTCTCTGTCTGTTCTACCCTACAAGCTGTTGCCATGGGTACAAAGCATCCAAAGCCCAGGGCAGTTCGTAATTGAATCCTGTTGATTCTGATATTAAATTAAAGGCTGAGTCGGTTCGTCTCAACTGTTGTTACCATAACATGGTCTCCTCTCAGATCCCTGGTCGATGTAGAGGAAAAGCGGAACTTTTTTTATTTCTCTGTACACTGCCCCCTCCCACTTCCCACTACCCTTCAACCCCTGTACGTAACAGACGAATGAGACGTAGCGTGAGCCAAGTCAAAATGAAATTCAATAAGCGTTTAGGACTTGTAGGAAGTCAAGGTAAACATGACGGAGGTTGTTATGAACGTACATTCGTTATCTGTCCTCTCCGGGATACTAAAGAAATTTTTATTAAGTATGTCGAGAAAATTAAATACAAATATTCAATTAAATGAGTATTACGAACAAATATAAGTTACATATAAAAATCAGTAGGAAGTATATTTGGTTTTATTTTCAATATATATCAGTATTTGACTTTATATGCTTGTCCACTCGATATCATATTCTTAAATAGACTTAATAATTCCACTAAGGCTATACATTTACGTGCTGTGAGTTTCAAACCCGTCTGTGAATCAGTTCAGTCTGTTTTTATTGATTGTCTATTTGGAGCTGATTCTCCACGAAAAAGCGGAAATGCATTAATATCATCACGGCCCTTGCGGGTTGCGGCTTCCACTTTGGGAACCGCGTCTTAGAAAACATTTTGGGTGTCCCGAGTCAAAAAAAGTGATTTATAGAATGCAACGTGTGAGGATTCTCGAAAGGTTTGTGACAATGGTTGATACATCATAGACCTGCAGTTGGATAGTGTCTACTGGTTACAGGCCTATTTGGTCCCCTTAAAATTCAAATTTGACTTCTGAAACAATAAATATTTTCAGACATTCATAACCGAGCGGAACACGAACTCGCGATCCCAGAATTTGTGTTGTCAAAGACTGTGTACGACCCAACAGCCACCGAGATCAATTTCATACTCACAAGAAATCTTACTCACCCCTGAGATAAGCAACAACGTTTATTTTCCGTTACGTTTCGCTATGACTTGCTAGTAGTCGAGGGAAGCTGGAAAACACTCAGGTTAGCACAGGGGAAAGATGATTCCGAGGCAGTACGAGTGGTTGGTTTTTACGGAGCTCAACACAGAAACCGGGAATGATTGTCGAAGAGTGGAAGACACGGCACTTGGTAAACAAGGACGATACGAAGTACGAAGACTTCTCCCTACTAATGAATGAGAGGCTTACGCAAGCTTTGTGACGTCACAGAGAGGACAAAAACAGGGCAAATGCTTCTTTTACAAGCAGACGCTTCAAGAACATGGTGCTAAACACGTGGGAACAAGATCTCTTTAAGTAAGGGTCTAGTAAAATTCCGCCTTTGACTTAAGCTTATTGAAAACGCGTGCACGCCAAGAATGTAGTGTGTGAAAAGTAATGTTTGCTTGGGCGGAGATTTAACACGACCTTGAAACAGTGACGCCATGATGAATGTTGTCCTAAAACATTGACTCTTACTAAAAATGTTTCGACTGCTGGAGAAAGCTGCGTGGTATTTGACACTATTGGTGTGTTGCCAGTGAAGCTACTAATATAATAAATTCTGTACGAACTATGAAATACTAAAAACACAAGAATAAGACCAAACACTAAAAAGATAGGAAACTATCGGAGAACTGAGTGTCAATCGATGTTTTTTTATCGCATATTACAACGGCTCTGCGCCTGCGCAGATGGGTTCTTCTGTTTGAAAGCCAATTGAATTCTCCGCTCCGAAAGACAGTACTAAAATGTGTGTTCCATTTCAGAAATGACAAGCTCGATCAGTAGGTAACGTGTAATTTGTAGGCTGAATGTCTACCGAGGTTTCGATCAATCGTTCGTGGTAGGCAGCTCTAATCTAACTCGCTTTATAATCCTAAAAGTAACGAAATTTCACGATAATGTATTTAAAGAATGAATATAGTCTCTTATGTATGTTTACTGTTTCACATCGTTACAGCGAAAACATGTTACATGCCCTACTCGCGAAAGGTAGTTTGGACAACCCTGCAAAAGATCATAAAACGGATTCTTCAAAATGAAACTACACTCACCCTTATTCAACAACACCAGCAAAAAGTACGTGTGTGTGTTTC